TTATTCACAGTCGTCAAAAGGACACAACACCTGAATGCCCCCTCAGATGAACAGATAACAACAGGGGTTCCTGTAAAGCGCACAGGAGAGACTCGATTCAGTCACGAAGCCCGGTCGGTTGCAAATGGCAACGTTTCTCTCTCTCCTGGGTGCAGATGGGCTGAGGCAGCACAGGGCATCGGCGCCAAGCTCAGGGTCTGGTGCCCTTACACACTGTCCAGAAATGAGGAATGGACTTGGCCACTCTGGGGTGGAAACCACAGGCTGAGGTCTTCTTGATGGATCAGTGACATGCGAACTCCAGGTAGTCATGTTTGGAGGATAAAGTTCATGGTTCATGGATTCTTCATGGTCTACACTGTCCACAGTTCGCTGGTTTTTGACAAAGGCACATTCTTCCCTGTGTGTTTGGACAACATTTTACAGGGTCAGCCTTGGGGTAGAACTTTATAGGGTGGGCTCGGGGGCACACATGGAGGAACTGTGGTTCTTGGCAGACTGTACTAAGTCTCACGGTGCCTATACACAATGAGGTGCTGCTCAGCCGGGAAGGGGAATGGCATCTGCTCTATGTTACCATCTAGATGCAGCTTGAAGGCACGATGTTGAGGGAAATCAGTCAGTCACAAAAGGATAAAGATTATATGGCCTCACTTATATAAAAAGACAAGGGTAGGCAAATGGATAGAGACCCAAGTTTATTAGTGGTTACTGAGAACAAAGGGGCGCCGATGGCTTTGCATCATGGTGCAGGTGCAGACTATGGCCGGTCCCATGGACTGCCAGAAGAGCCATCGATGGATGTTGGCATCAGCAGAGCTGGACTGTTCCTTTGAATGAGGACGGCAAGCACTGTGGCTGTGGGAGCAGGAGGGCCAGGTCCTGGACAAGGACGTCCTGCTCCGGGAAGCAGAGGGCTGGTGGAAGGAGAGGACGTCCCTCCATGAGATGGACTGAGATGCCGCAGAAACAACGGACTCCCACACAGCAGACCTTGTGAGGCCAGCGCTGGCCTGGGTGGTGTTTCCTTGTGCGACACACAGGTCTGCTCTGAGTTCGAATGACCTTGACCGCAACTCACGACAGCAGGGCAAGTGGGCTCATTGCTTAGAGAACACTGTGTTTCTATGTACAGCGTCGAAAGTGACACTGATTTCTGACAGGATCACACAGCCCTTTATCGCAGGTGCACTCAATAAGTTGTACACATGCAACAAGGTGCCGTTATATAAACTGTGTGATAGATATACTGGAAACGGTGATTTTTAAAAGAAGAAGAGGAGGAGGAGGAGCTGCTGAGATGACTTACATGCAACCAAACACCTCGTTGGATTTGGTTCCTTGATGGGATGGTTTTGTGTCTTAGTTTCCTCCCATGGAACTGGCCTCACGGTGCGTTTCGTGCTTCTGGTCCACCTCCTCGTTTGTGGTGCCCTGGCTGGGGCCTTCCAAGCTTGCCCGACTCTGTAAGGCACAGTGGAGGGAGAAGGAGACGGAAAACAGAGGAAGACAATGGGAGGGTGGCTAGTTGCCTCCATGAGCAACTGCCTCCTTTGCCGTGAGAGCTGAAGAAATACCTGATGCCCACCACCATCCCTGAACACGTTTCTATGTATCTATCTATATTTTCATTTTAATAATCACTTGTTTGCGGCTCTTACTTATACTATAACAATCCACACATCCATTATCTCAAGTTGAAATGTTTCCATCAACAATTTCAAAATATTACCTTTCTTCTTGGCCCTTTTTTTTATTAGCTCCTCTTTATTCCTTCCCTCACCCACCCTGGTTCATGCACAACCCTTTCATATGTTTCGCATTATTGTTATGATTTATACATATCTCACACCATTGATTCTATCCCTACACCTGCTGTCCTGGTGTTCATTCCCCTCGAAGGGGGCGATTCCGCCGTCATTGCCCTCCATTCCTCCTTTCACCTTCCCCCCAATTTCCCTTCCCCTACCCTCCTGGGATCATTACTCTCATTACTGTTTTTGATGGAATTATCTATCCTGAAGTCCATATATTGGAAGTCCTCCTCTGTTCCAATGTATGTGCACTGGCAGGACTTGGACCCAATGCCCACCCACTCCCCACCCACGATGCTGTCTCCCTCACTGGACATAATGGGGGACTGAGGCCTGCATTCTTGCTCTCTGCAGCAAACTGGGAAGACAGGCATGGGCTGCTCTGAAGGCTTGAGGATTTCTGTCAGGGGGACATTTCGGCCCCCTCTGCTCAGGATCAGTTTCCTATTTCCTTGTTCTTACTTTATGTGAAGCAAGACACTTGAGAAAGAGTCAGGACATTAAGTAAATGCCGAAATCTGCTCTGACAGGCTGGGGTTTCCCAGGCCCGGACCTTGATGCAAAAGTCTGGGTGCAGAAGGGCAGCCCCACCCCACTGGAGCAGATGTAAAAGCCAGCTGAGGCGGAACCCTGCAGAGCGTGCCCTGAGAAGATGGGAGGCATCAGAGGGCCCGCGCAGCTGCTGCTGCTGCTGCTCGTGGGTCTGACTTGGGCCAAACCGACCGAGGACCTCAGGCTGAGTCAGGCAGAGGCATTGGCATTCGCCATCGACAGCTACAACACCCAGTCCGATGAGGAAGTCAGCGCCTTCCAGATCCTGGAAGCCGAGCCCCAGCCAGACTGGGTGAGAAGGAGAAGGGAGGGTGCTGGGCACAGCCACCAGAAACCCCAAAACCTTGCAGGGATGAGGCGGAGGGCCCTCTGCCCTGATGGCCTCTGAGGCTTTGGGAAGGGCCACCTCTCTTCTGGGCCTCAATGTCCCCCTATGTGAGCGATGGCAGCCACCCCCATGGCTGGGGCTCTGCGTTTGTGTTTTCCAAGCTGCTATGATAAGGGGCCGATGTGGGGGTCATGTGGACCTGGCCTTTAGTACCTGCTTCAACCCTCTCTATCCTGCACAGCCTTAGTTAATTCGCTCCCCTTGACCTGACCTCCGATTAGACTAGGCAGAGGGAGACGAGAGCACCAGCGTCCTCCCCTGCTGGGGGACAGGCTGGCGGCTCTCTAGGTCTTTCCATGAATGGACATGCTGACCCGAGGGCTGAGATTCTTGTTCTCCTTGTTGACAGGACCCAGCATTAGAGACACCACAGCCCCTGAATTTTATCATCAAAGAGACGAATTGCAAGAAGGCACAGAAGCTCCCCCCTGAGCAGTGTCCCTTCAAGGATGATGGGGTAAGATCCTCAGCCACCAGCTCCCCAGGCCCCATCCCAAGGCTGACTCTGTGCTTTGGCTCTGCTTGAACACAGCCCAGGGTTTCCTGGTTTGAGAGGGTGCTGGGGTCCCCAAGCCGGTGAATCAGGTCTGATATTGTATCTTTCCCACCACAGAAAATACAGAAATGTGTGGGGCTTCTCAAGGCTGATGCGGATGATCTCAGCGTGGAGCTCACCTGTAAACCCCATACGTCTGAAGGGGTGAGCAAACTCCTGGGGCCTTGTGGAAGGAGGGGAGGGACACAGGGCCTAGGAACCTGAACTTCAAACCCTTGGCTGGAGGGCTAGGCTGTCATGTGCTGAACAGGAGCCTCTGAGACTTTACGCTCTGCCCAACCCTGAGAGTTTCCTGAGAGACCGACCCCCAGGACCCCAAAGGCATGGCTCTGAGCTGTGCCTCTGCTTAGTGGGCTGAGCACACACCTCACCACCCTGATCTCAGTCTCCACAGGGAAGGGGATTCCGGTCTAGAGCGGCACATTGGCATCGTCTGGGAAGAGTGTGTAAGCTACTGAGCCTAGGCTTACCCCCAAGTCAGACCTAATTGGGCAGGAGTGTGCTCAGGCCTGCAGACCCCAGAGGGCCTAGTGGAACTGTCATTCACAAATGCTGTTCTGAGGGAGGCAGATCCTTGCATCCTGGGAAGATTGATTTTAAAAGACAAACAAACAAACAAAACCCAGAGTGAATGCAACTCTTGGTGACCCCACAGGTTTCAGAGTAGAGCTGTGTCCCCTAGGTTTTCAGTGACTGATTTCTTGGCCATAAACCACCTGGCCTTTTTCTGCATCACCTCTGGGCCTACTTGAGCTTCAAACCTTTGGATTCACAGCAGCGCGTGTTAACATTGTGCACCACCCTGGGACCCCAGGGAAGCGGGAATGGCAGAGGGGCAGTGTCAGTCAGGAGAGAAGAACTGGTGGGTCCGAGCTTGGGGCTTTGTCACGGAGGATTGTCCCGGCCGAGAATACAGTGCTGAGTGTCGCAGGGGGTTCTTGAGGCAGGGGGTGCTTGAGAACTGCCAGGCCCTGATCTACCGGCCTTCAGACTCTCAGGAAAGGGAGACATCCCCACGGGCTGTCAAAGCTAGAGGTCACCTGACAGATTCTCTGGGAAATACAGCTTGTGGACGAGCACACAAACTTACACGTATGCATACACGCGCACACACAGGGACACACACAGGGACACACACCCCGCTTTAGCAGCTGAGGAGAAGCAATCTGACAGGTTGCCCAGTGAACGACTGATGGAGAACAGGGGTTCCCAATGTGTGGACCCCCTAGACCCATTGCATAGGCTCCTCCTGGGAACCAATCAGAAATGGAAAATCTCAGGGGTTCAGCAGGCTGTGCCTTGGATGATCCCCACAGGGGATTCTGATACACAAGGGAGGGTCACACTGGAACACTAGATGCGTGAATCCACAGCCAGCAGCAGACCAGCTGGGAGAGGATTGAAGCTCAGAGAGGTGGAGCGCTGTGCTCAGGTCAAACCGGCAGCCAGGCATCCGGTTCAGCCAACTGGAGGCTTCTCCTCGCTGCTAGCTCCCTCTGGGCCCTTCGGCTGTCAATCCACGTATGGAGCCTTGAGGACCATCCCACCCTCCTAGCCCTCCGCCCCTGTCCTGGCTCGTGCCACTGTCTCCACTAACTTCCCTTCACTCTTGCCCAGCCGGTACGAGTGCCCAGAGGCCTGAGAAAAACACTCAAGAAGATAGGGAAGAAGATAAAAGATACTGTGAAGAAGCTGCTTCCAAAGAAACCCATCATGATCGGGTATAGCAAACGTTTCTGAGACGGCGCCGAGTGCCTGGACCCAGCTCTCCTGACTCTGCTTCAGTTCCCCATCTTGGTCCCTTGCTGAGCCAGCGCCTGTCTTGACTCAGACCAATAAAATCTCAGCTCAGCCCAGCCGGTGTCCTCCTTTTCCCAACCCTCTCCTGTCCCAGAACCTCCGAGGAGTCGGGGACATGCCTTTGAGCATAGTTCCTCTCTCTACACTCTGCCTGCACCCAGACCAGTCTGTCCAATCTCCCCTGTGTCACAGATTGCCAACCCCCACCCCCTATCCTATCCTGCCAGCAATGGACACTGAGGGAGAGATGCCATCCCAAAGGTCCTTGATGGCCCTAGAATTGGAACCTCACCCCATTGGCCACACAGAAAGGTAGCCTTGCGGGAGCAGGGGAGCTGTAGCAGCCATACCACTCTAAGTGATGTGTGACCAATGCTGGCCCGGTGACTCACGAGAAGTCACAGCAGAAGGAGCTACCCTGCTCCAGCGTCCAGGGAGCAGCGTGAGAGCAGCGTGGGAGGATGCTGGGCCTGAGAGGAAGTGGCAGCCCCAGGTCAGGGGACAGTCTGAGCAAAGGGATAGTGCACAGCAGGGGCTGTGCAGACAGGGGTGCTGAGAGAGGGGGCGATGCTGGAAGCAGTGATAGAGAGGAGGGGATGGGACTCGGTGGAGACTCCGCAGCACATCGCAGACTTGCTCTGCGTCTCTCCAGTGTGCAGACCAGCAGGAATAGCATTCGGGAGGATGTAGAGAGAAGCTCCCAAAGTCCAGCCGGAGACCATGGCAGAACCAATCCATGTCAGGTTCCCCTTAGCATGAGAGCCACCAAGGACACACAGAAAAAGTGCCCAGATCCAGTGACCAAGTTTCTAGATGACCCATTCACACAAGTGGCGGGTGCGATCGGTTTGTCTAACCCTGTTCAATTCAAAATGTGGCTTGTGGGAAGAAGCTGCCTCCAGTCTGAGGGTACTGGAGGAACTCGGTTCTAGAGACCCGAACCCCTCCCCACAG